TCTTTGTTTAGAGGATAAAAAGACAAAAGCTAAAAACCCAAAAGGGATGGTCATGGTAGAATATAACAGATGAAATGACTGAACCTGTCTATAAAACCAGAATTTTAGTTTCTCACCTTCAGCCCAAGTAATGGCGGTTGTCCAAAATTTTTGGAGGGCCAAAATAATTAATTAAGACCAAATGTTTAAATTAAATATAATTATTTTAATAATATTTTAAAAATTCAATTATACTATTCAAATATTAATTAAAAGACATAAAAAATGAGTTTGGAATATATATAAAAAAAATATTTCAATTAAAATGTTACTTTACATTTATTCAATAATAATAATAATTGAGGAATGAAAAATTAAAAATATTAGAATTTTTCTTTATTAAAATTAACTAAAAATAGGCAATATATATTCATTCGATCTGAAAAAAGAATCGGAAGATTTAATGTAATTATGAAATCTAAGCAAAGAAGCATATATAAATAGACAATTATGGAGTTTGATGTTTAAAATTGAAAGTTTAGTTTCTAAACATTGAAAGTTTAGTTTCTAAACATTGAAAGTTTCCTATTTAGAAGATAAACAATTTTCACAATTAAGATTTGAAAAGATCAATCAAAGTTAATTATTTTCTTTCATCACTTTTATAACCTCTATATATACCACTGCATCTTAAAGATAATATCGATAAGTGATAAATAAAGCTATTATATATTTATAACCTTCATGTATATGTATAATATTTCTATTTTTAAATAATAGGTTACAACTATTCATCATAAATTATCCCCTTAAATTTTAGATAATCTTAACACAACTAATATATATATATAGTTTAGGGGGAGGGGGACATGGCCCTTGGCTCCTAAGAAGATTCACCCCTTAACTCAAGTGTTTGCACCACTAAAATAAAAAAATAAATTGAAGTATTTAGTACATGTTTGTTTTCACGTTGTTAAAGAGTAAAAGTACATTCAGTCAATCCACTCGGACTCATACTTTTCATTTAAGTATATTAGGATGTGTATAGATGAATATTCAAATAGATCATTTAGTTCAAAGTGCACTGCTGTGGTGCCAAATCCTCATGTGAATTAATTGAGTAACATGCTTTTCAAAGTAAAGATTGCTTTCCCAAGATCAACATAATATCTCAGTTATGTATATAAATGTTTTCATTCTCCTTTGATATCCATTCAACACTTAATGTCAATTGAGGAAAGCGTTAAATGGGTAATGGGATAATAAGGAATTTTACTTGCGTATATAAAACCATGTTTCTGCTTATAGACTGTTGGATCAGAGATAAGGTCACTAGATTGCATGTTTCTGCTTATAGGCTGTTGGATCAGAGATGAGGTCACTAGATTCGAATGTGAGCTTGGAGCCAAGAACTAAAGGAATTGAAACAGTTTTGCATCCAAGGAGCCATGAATAATTCAAGTACGGCCTTTTCCAGTGTTGTTTTGGCTTCAATTTGTTTTGTTTTTTTCTCTTCCCTGAGTTTCCTTGCTACCTTTGCTTGTTCAGTTCTAGCCTTCAAGGCATTATCAGCTTCCAACATAGTTCTTCTCAAATCACCAAGTTCAGTTTCTATGTTAAAAGTTTCCAATTCATAGGACTTCAACTGGTTTTGTTTCTCAAAAAGTATGGCCTCAAAGTGAGAGATCTCTCTACAAAGTGATTGTCTACGTTGCTTCCCTGATAATATTTTTTGTTTCAATTTAGTCCCACTTTAATTTTAGGTCTCAATTTGGTCCCTAATAATTTAAATCATTGCAATTTGGGACTTTCGTCCACTGAAACCAAACTCAATTTACAAAACAGCATGAAAAGGAAATCCACGAGTAAAGTGCAAGCTCTCCAACATTCTTCTCATACCAAATCACTTGTGCTTGTAAATGTATGATAAAATATGAAATAATAATTGAATTCAAAGACTTGAGAAAGATGGAAATACCTATACAAGGTGTGCCATCTAAAATAGCAATGGTTGCCGGAACTGCACCGTTCTCTCTTACAATACGTTCCACCTCTCTTGCAGTTTCTAAATTTTGAGGATATGGCATCCCTACAAACAAGAGTGTATTCCAAATACTAAATTCTGGGTATTGGAGTTGAAAAAGGAAAAACAATACACACACAAATAGAGAGAGAGAGAGAGAACCGTGAGAAATGATGGTCGATTCTAGAGCAACAACTGCACGCCCTAGTGATAATGCTTCAGAAACCTCTGAAGCTACCTTCACCTTGATTGACTTTTCAATTACATTGACTTGCACAGCCTATATCAAAACCCAGTGATTATTCATTTTGCTTACGAATAATGTTTTCACCAGAATGATACAAAAATGACTACAAGGGTTGAAAAAAGGGAACAACATTACTTGGATGAATTTATTGCAACAAATACTAATGATCATTATGTGAAAAATCCATATTCAATACCTTGTTGCTGGTTCCATTCAAATCCAAGTGTCTTTGAAGATTGGCTAGTCGTGAGACAGCTGAGAATGCCATGCCACCTGCTTAAGATTGTGTTTGAATGAGGAAATAAATAACAGGTCACAAATCAACAATAGAAACACCAATCATCGAAATAAGAAAACAAAACACAGATCAACAATCCCAAAAAAATTAAAATTGACGCAACAAACCCTAGATCATAGAGATGAGAGACTGAGTGAGACGAACGTAATATGAATCAGAGAAAGAGAGATTTCTGAACCTAGAAAGGAAGAATGAGGGGATCTGATCTGAAAATGCGAGCGAGGGTGGAGTGCGAGTGTGTATTTTCAGTGGAATTTGACTTCCTACCATTAAATATCGTTCCACAACATAGATATCGGATGCAACATGACCTGGTTTTACTACTGTCATTTTGGTTTTAATATCTCATTTTGGTTTTTGACAAATGACAATAGAAAAATTAGGTTTTGTTGTGTCTGACATTTGTGATGTTAATGATATTTAAAAGTAAGCCTCGGTGGGTTAAGGAGGAAAGGTGTTTATAAACTACCTTTAGTCTCGACTTCTAAGCGATGTGAGACTTTTTTAGGCATACCGGAACAAGCTCCCCAGTCGATGCTAAGGGGCAAGAGTAGCCTAAGCCCTCCTTCTAGCACCAAATATTCCTACCGTAAGTCCACTGTCATTGTTAGGGTCACCGCATCTGAGATATTGTCCACTTTGGCACTCGTTGAACCGTCACGGTTTTGACCTTGTTCAGTTCAGTTCAGTTTAGTTTTTTTTGCCCACCCCTATGAATCATCAAGTAATTCAAGTGCATACTTATATTGAGACAAAATAATGTCTTGTTAAAACCTAGCAACCACAAGACCATATAAAAACTTAAGTGGTTTAAGATCCTTTATTTTGAATTTCTTATCCAAAATTACTTTTTCATAATTGATCTCTGCATTGTTGTTCTTGTTAAAGACATAATGAATTACTAATGCAAACTGAACAATTTGAAGTTTCAAATCCATTATAAGAACTTTCAAATTTTTTTTAAAATAAATTCATATATTCAATATTTTCATAAGACCTCCAAGATGATAGAAGTTTAGAAACATAAATTAAGGGAATTCAAAATATCCAGCCTTTCTAATGTTTGAAAAAGGTGTCCAAAGAGCACAAAACCCAATCAGAAGTTTCAAATCCATTATAAGAAATTTTCATTTTTGAAATGAATTATATATTCATCACTTCCATAAATTCGATGATAGAAATTTAGAAACAAAAATTATGTAAATTGAGAATATTCAACCTCCTTTTCATATTGATAAAGGTAACGTGTCAAAATTAACTAGCCTCGTTATTTTAAAGTTTAAAAGAAATCGAGATAAATGGGTCAAATTATACTAATAAAAAAGATATTCAACAGGCCTATTTGGCCCAATTATTTTTTATTTTCCTTTTAAATTACATAAAATCATTTAAATTATTCTATTTTTTTAAAATTGCATATAAAATTATTTAAAAAAATTAAAGTGATTCCAATCATGCAAAAATACCCGTGCAAAAGCCTCCTCATCAAAGAGCACAATACCTAATTTGATGTTTCAAATCCATCACTAGAACTTTTCATTTTTGAAATAAGACTATGTTGATTGCCTTACTCGATACTACAAGGTAGACTATGAGAATCTTTGCAGGATTGGACTTTTATAAAATGGGTGGGGTGTCCAATGTTTTCTTGAGTGCTTGGAAAGCTTTAAGGTTGTGGCTTTTTTCAATTACTACAAAAAAAAAAAAGTGTGATTTGTGACGGTTATATTGGTGGTTTCTAGCAGTTAAAAACCGCTACAAAAAGCATTATCGACGTCATTAATAACTGTCAAATCTACGGTTGCCAAAAAGCGTTTGTGTCAAATATTTTGTAAAGTGTAAGAAAATTCAATCCCTTTGTGACAGTTTAAACTGCCACAAAATGCATTTTAATACCATTTTTTTTTTGTTCATCACTGGAGTATCCACTGCCGATAGCAGTGACTAATCTTCTCGCTACGTTAGAAACACCTCAAAAGGTAGGATAGCTGGCCCCAAGATTTAAAAACACATTTTTATTATAAATTGACAAATAATAATCAATATATTTAAGGTATTTATCAAATTATTATTTAAAATTGTCACTAACCATATTAATCATTGAAAATTAATAATGACTATATTATATTGTTGTTTAATTCAAGTAACTTATAAATAAAAAATTTACTTGTCAAATTCTTGGATCACTTATTTAACTAATGCACATTGATAAACAAGGTATCTTATGACGTTTTAAGTCAGGATTACTATTACAATTTGTGGTGCACCTTGCCTCTTAGTACCCATGCCTCTTAGTTTTCCAGGGTGTGATTCACCTGGTTTACCTCTTAATATTTAATTATGTAGTGCAATAGGACAAGCATCTTGTACCAAAAATATAAGTAACATAAGGAATCAGATACAAGAACAAATAGTTCTCGTCTTTCTTATTTTGTGGTGATGGATAGTGGGTGTTGAAGCTTGTTATATAATATATATATATATATATATATATAAACAGTTAGTAAAATTAAGTCATGACATGCAATTCTATCTCATTCTGACACATTTACACATTACTAGCGAGAAAGCCCTTTATCCAGAAAGATATAGCCAAGTGTTTTTCTATTCTTCGTGCGTGTGATTTGTGCTGCTCTGTCAACTACTTCCAAATTCCTTCTTTACGAACCTGTTAGGGGAAAAAAAGAAAGAATGAAAACAAATTGCAATGATCTCCATGTTAGTTTCCTAAAGCCTAAAACTGGATCCTAGCCCTCCAGGAGAAATAAACACAAACATATATTACAGGATATTGAAAGACATCTCCGTACTGTGTTATATAATGTTGCCTTTAGACAATGGGCTGAACTAATATTTAGTTATGAATACAGACACGTGAAAAGTAAAGTCCAGTTAATAGTAAAAATAACTGTAGGAAATTTACTAGTTTGTTGGGGGTCAAACCATAGAAGACCAGTAAATGACTCTCAGTAAAGAGAAAACTTACCATAATTTTGATGCACTTTCGTGTAGTTGTAAATAGCTTTTCTTAAGGAACCATATCTCATGAAGTTCAATGATCCCATATGTCTAGTAATAAACACAAACATCAGTCAGAATCTATTCAAAGGGGGAAAAAACAGAGAGAAAAAAGAAGCTGTCTTATAGGCGTATCAAGTGAGAATTATAAACAAGTAGGCCCTCACATCATATACCACTTAACCTATGCGATGCAAGGAAGTTCACTTTTAAGGCTTAATGTTTCGGCAATATAACTATGGGGTAGCCACTACTCTTCCTGTCTACCACAGATTTACAAGTGCAGAAAGAAAATATTAGCATGTTTGGATATACTTCTCTGTAAGCTTTTTAGAAAGAAAAAAGAAACGAAATAAGGTCTCTATAAGCTAAAAATTAGCTTTTAAAGAAGTTAATATGAGAAAACTTCTACAAATTAAATTATGTACAAGTTATATATAATTGTTGGAAAAACTAATTTCATTCTTTTTCTTTTAGAAATAATTATGAAATTTTTTATCTGCACAGACTCTAAGAAAGAGACAGGAACATAAAGCAAATAATGAGAAACTAAATCGGATCCAATCCAAATATATTCACTGACACTTGAGACGTAAACCAATTTCATTTACACAGTAATTTATTTTTCAGATAAATCATTAACAGGCTCTTCCAAGTTGAAAACCTAATACAGAACAGGAAGACCATGTAACAGAGCTACTGCTTTTAGCTTCTATAAACAAGCATAGCTTCACTTCATGTCAATAAACAAACATTTGATTACTGCACTAATCTAATCATAAATAATAGTACTTTCCTAGAAAGAACTTACATGATCTCTGTGTAAGGAAGTCTCCATGCAGGAAAACCAAGATGGCTCCTCACAGGTCCATAAACCAGTAAAAGGTCAGGCTCTGGACCTTTGCTACCTGAAAATAATAAGTGCTTTATTGTACAACGCAATCAATAAGACTATGAGTGTGTTGAGATACAATGCGCTGACACCCGAGATTTCCGATCTGTACAAGCCTTGGAAAACCCGCAATGAGTGGACTTTAAAATTTTGGACTGAATGGAAAAATATATGCTCAAATGCATAGATTAACCATTCATGTTAAATCTCATCGTGGTCAACAATATATACAGTAAACATGAAGCAACAATAACATGCATCTATACATTTATTTAAATTTGCTTTAGTTTAAATTTGTATACAAATAAATTAATTAAAAATTGACATACATGAATTAAATAGATACATGATATTTTACCTATAAAAAGAATAAAATGTATTTATTCTCATTTGGTTTAAATCACCCAAAATGATATTTCTGAAAGAATGAAAAGAAGTGATCTATATAGATGCTTTGTACATGAGAACCTTGTCAATTCTCATCAAATTCACTAGACTAATAGCTGTTTACCTGCAAAGTTTCAAAAACAAGACCAAAGACTGAACCAACAAGAGCTATAGGTCGTGTTTTAATGGTTCAATCAATATTTAATTAGGCAACATAATAAATTATTATCATACCAGAAACCAGTCAAAGTTGTTGTTCTTCTGAAGTAAGAATTTCACCCTTTTAAGAATTATTGTGACATCTTTTAATGTCTGTCAATATGCTATTTTTCCTCACTTTTTCTTTTAATATTATCTTAGCTTCGGATTAGTTAATTCTTTGAGGTGAAATACTTGTTTGAATGAAGAATTTATAAAGAATTTAAAATTTAAGTATTTGTGAAATTTCTTGAAATAGTAAAATTTTAAATTCTCTAAAAAAGTAAGAATTTGAAATTTTTCATATTTGTTTTTCTTATTTCACTTATATATTTTATCTTATCTCTTATCTCTTCATTCTTTTTATTATTGAATATTCAAAAATATTTTTAAAATTATTAAATATTAT